ATTAGCTAAGTTAAGCAAATTAATTTAGTATAATTTAATTAGTTGTCTTAGTTTGTTTATTTGATTTAATCATGATAAATTAAATAGATTATTAACTTAATTAATCTAATTACATACTTAAACTACATTAATTACTCAAATTTTAAAAAAAATTATAATCACAACTAATAACTTTAAGGTATTTAATAAATTATTTTAAAAATACATTAAGTAAAATTAATTTAACATACATTAAGTGTATAGCCTAGTAGGGGAGGGGGAGGGGGAAGGTAGATATTTAATGGAATTTAGTTAATAGCGTGAAAGGAAAATGTTCCCCAGCTCAAAGTAGGCTATAATAGATGTATTGGCATTTTTATTATATATATACTTTTAGTTGATTTTTTGTAGGATATTTCCACGGTGGCCCTATATATCCATAAAGTAATCAGGTAATATGTTTTTTAAAATGGTTTTATTCTCTCATAATATTAAATCATATAAAGATTATTTTTTGCATCAATTTGATTTATATATTATTTTATTTTAAAATTCTTGTATGATGTGAGTTTCAAATTTTGTTTTTTTTTTCTTATTTTGCTTTTTTAATTTGCTATTCTGATAAATTGTCTATTCATTAGCCCTTGCGAAGCGGGGGCATGACGCTAGTAAATTATATATAATATACATATAATAAATATAATATTTAATATATATATATATATACAAATGTATTTATTTATTATAATCGGGTTTGTCGAGTCAGACCCGATTATTCTGAGAATCGATCGATTTGGTTCTGGGTCTGAAAATTACAAACCCTATCAAGTTTGGTTTGGTTTCGAGTCCTCAATATTTCCTATGAAATTGGTTCCGATTCTAACTGGTCTTGACCCAGTCCCGACCTATTGACAACCCTAAATGTTCCAAATTCAAATGGGGGGGGGATTTGTAATGATGTGCTGGGACCTTTACCAAAATAATAATAATAATAATAATAATAATAATAATAATAATAATAATAATAATAATAATAATAATAATAATTAAGAGGGTACTTGGGAAGTTTTCATTGGGGTTTTTCAAAGTTCAAAAGACCAAAATTTGGTCATTTTCCATTTTACAATAAAAGACATAAATACCAAAAAGATTCATTCGACAAAAACCTCACAAATGCCCTAAACGGCTGAAAATCGAGAAACTTCAAATGAGGCTTTTGATATAAAATATCCTTCTTTAAAAGCACCTGCCAAACAGCCCCTAAAATGAAACAATAAATAGTCAAATATAGGAGCTTGCAAGAAATTAAAATTTTATCAAAGAAGAAAGAGTAAAAAATTCCTTAAATTTCTAAAATGTAGAATAATTCCTGCTAAAGTGGTATATAGGATCTTTTATGGAGTAGAGGTTAAAAATCAGGGATGATAATTTTTGGCCTCACCAATAACATTGCTTGATGGTTGATGGAATATTTTAGTGTCTTTGTTTGGGAAAGACAATGCGGAGTGGAGAAGACAGACGTATATTGTACATAAAGAGCCATTACACAATGCAAGTCCCGGAACCTGATCAGATGATTGGATATGAACTTAACCTCTACCATTTTCTGCACAATGGTGGGGAAGAGAAATTTGCATCAACTTCATATATAGGAGGAGATTGTAAGCTCCAATGCTTCAAAGGCTTTGTTTGAGTTTTCTTATAGAGTAACGATGATAAAGTTAGCAGTCAAGAGAGTGTGTAGATGGTGATAAATTTGCCCATCTCGATCGGATTGGGCTTGTGAATAAATAGTTGAACTTGGGCTTAGTTCAGGCTCAAGTTCGGGCTCAATTCTGGCTCTTCGTTTTCACATATTGCACAATATTATGACAATCCAAACGTTTTAGAAAAAAATAATAATGAATACCAAACACAACCTATGACTATGATTTTAAGATTCACTAAATCTTAAATATAATTTTAGTTTGAGAGCTTAAATCCAGAGATTACACAGATAATGCCAAAGCTATGAATGCCAATTAAAACAATGCTAATAAAAGCTGTAGAGAATGAGTAAAATATTATTAGCATCTATCTCATCCGGTTTGCTAATGGAACAGCTGATGAATCGAGTTTGGATTATCTATTGTTGTGTTAGAGGTTATTTTACCAACAATAACGCCACAAATCAACTATGCGTGCTAAGTCATAGATTACAATGGTGGTAGTTAAACAACCCCAACACAGCCATCAAATGCAGTTAATCCTGTATCGATGAAATCAACAGTATGCGATGATCTATGACCGGAAGGCATTGCTATCCAGCTACCTATTCTCAGGGGTGCAAATGGATCATGATTCGATCCGCAATCCGATTGTTTTACTTTATTTAAATTACTCTATTTTATCTTTCTTTTAATTATTTATTAATTTTTAAAGAAAACAAGTTAGATCGGATCAGATCTGAAAGTTCCGACTTATCGATCGGATTTGAATTCAAATCGAGTCTTATTAGATCCGCTCAGATCTTCGGATCGGATCGGATCGGATCCAACATGAACAATGTTGGATCGGATTTAAATATACCCTGGTTCGAATCCAATCCAATCCATTTACATGCTACCTATTTTGAAGTGGTGTCATTGAGCTTGGCCGCAGTTATGATTGAATAAGAATGACAATGGGGCAATTTTGGGGCGAGGGTCATATTTTCCATCTTCAATCCTGACTTTGAAATAAATCGTGGTTCTAGATTGGAGATAACTATGACCCTCTATCATCAATCTCTGGCAAGACCATATTCCTCAGACCCCGACTTTCAAACAAGTCCCCGTTCTAGACCCTGATCCCTGTTGGAAATAAAAATGACCCTCCATCTCTGATCCCCGACGAAGATGGATTCCCCGTTGGGAACCCGAATCCCTGAAATTTTTAAAAATTATATTTATTTAAAACAAGGGAATTTTTTAAAATAAATTTTGATATAAATAATATTATATATGTATGTATTTAATATATATGATCGGTGTTGGGGTGGGGCGGAAAATTCACTCCCCATTCTTACCCCGTTCCTGCAGACAATCTCCACCCCTAACCCAATGAGATTGAAGAAACCGGGTACCTGATGGGAATGGGAAACAGGAAAATTGCCATCCCTAAATTGAATCTTGTTGAACTATTGATACAGATTGGCTCATTCCCTTGTCAACTTGCCTCCTCACTGGCCTGGCCGGTGTGTGGGCTTCAATGATTTGTTGGTCCAGTTTGGGATCCCCTTTTGATTACTCTCAATAAGTTTCTACAGTCGTAATACAAATAAAAAGAAAAAAAAAAATCTATTGCTCAAATTCAATTTGGCATATATTTATGGGGGAGGGGTATCAAAAGTTTCCCTTGTTAGCCTTGGCCAAGTTTTTAAAAACCGACCCAGAATTAGAATTGTTCTGGTCATCGATTTTTGGGTCAATGGCTCAATTGTCCGATTTGAATAAATGGCCCATTTCAACTGAATAAATTGTTGAATGGATCATTGGTTCAACCATCTGAATCAATGGTTTATTGACCAAATCAATAGTTTTTGGCCAAGGAATGAGTTGAAGGTGAAATAGAACCAATTACCTAGATGATTTTCGAGCCAAACGGTCCAACCGTTTAGGTCAGTGGCAATTAGAAAACACTGGCGTTGGCCATCCAAACTTCGAAATATTAATTTAGCGAAATTACTAAAAAGGCATAATTTTAATTCTCAATACCAACTAAGGATAGTGTTCACTAAAGTCCTAAACTTTACATAACCTCATTTTGTGTGGTTTCAATATTTTATTAGTTAAGAACAAAAACAATATTTCTTCATGTTCTTTCCCCATTTATTACTAATAAAATTATCCGTTCAGATTCATATATTCCAAAACACAAGTGGATAAATGATTAATTAAATAAAATAGAAAAAATAATACATATTTTGAGTTGATACACGGAGACATGCATACTGAATTCCTGATAGAGGTGTAAACTTATCCGTATCGATATCCATATACCGGTTTAGACATTAGATTGAGAATTTGCTAAAATTTGAATGGGCTCTTGTTCTTGTTGTGTATATTCAGATATTCTCACCAAACTTGCACCCCTACATCTTGGGGTTGACGGAGTCCAAATTTTCTCGTCCGGTCTTTCCAATCATCTCCCTCCCAGACTTTGGGGTTGAGGGATGAAGGTGGCTGTGCCTCGTTCGCTCATCTCTCTTCGTCGACCTTCCCTTTACGTTTGTATTTTCTCTTGCAGTCTTTCTGCTCTGATATCTCTCTCTCTCTATATATATATACCTCAGAGAGGAAGAATTAAGGCAATGGCAACTGCATGGTTAAGTAGCTCAGATTGGGCTCCCATAGAGACCCGTACATCAAACAGGACTTTCTTGTGCATAGATCCTTTTCATATTTCTTCAGGGGGTATATGGACTACGTTAAATAATCGAGTTACGGGGAATGTTGACAACAATCCTCTGCACTTTTCATTGCCTAATCTGGCGGCACAGATTGTCACCGTGCTCATGGTAACGCGAACCATTCATTTCCTCCTCAGGCCTCTTCGACCACCATCCATTGTTTCACAGATCATAGTATGTTCTCTCTCTCTCTCTCTCTCTCTCTCTCGTAGTCGTAACTCGTATCTCAAGGGAAGGTAAAGATTGCACTGTGTTGGATATATAATTGGTTAATTAATTAATTATTATTTGGGCAAAGTATGTTTTGGTTAATTTGCTGATGTTTAATTAGGGTGGCATACTATTAGGTCCGTCATGTCTTGGGAGATTCAAGAGGTTTCGAGACAATCTTTTCCCTTTTAGAAGCATACCGGTGCTAAGTACAATAGGTACTCTGGGTCTGGCGCTGTTCCACTTCCTCATGGGAGTGAAAATGGACTTAAGCATAATAAAGACATCCGGGAGAAGGGCAGTTCTGGTGGGTTTGTTATCCATCATAGTTCCCTCCTTTCTGGGGGTGGTATCCTCTGTGGTTTTAACTAAAGCTTTCTCAATGGATTCCTATATGAGGAAGGCGCTCTCCTTTGTAGGAGCGGCAGAGTCTATCGTTGCTTTTCCGGTGGTGGCTACCCTGCTGACGGATCTGAGGATCATCAACACGGAGATGGGTCAGCTGGCCTTATCTTCCTCCATTATCAATGACATATTCAACGTCAGTTTTGCAATGGTGAGTACCAACCTCAAGTTAGGCAGGATAAGTAGGAGGATATTACTATATGCGCTGTCAGCGAATGTGGGGTATCTGATATTTGTGGTGTTCGTCATTCGGCCCATAATGCTTTGGGTGGTTAGGAACACACCAGAAGGCAAACCTGTGAAGAAGGCATATATCAGATTCATCCTTGTGGTGGCGCTCATGTCGTCATTTTGTAGTATAATTATGGGGCACAATGCTTATATGGGGCCTCTTCTTCTTGGATTGGCTGTACCAGATGGACCACCCCTGGGATCGGCTTTGGTTGATAGGCTCGAATCCTTCGTTTCTGGATTGATGTTGCCGCTTTTCTTAACCGTCAGCGGCCTCAGGACCAATTTCTATAAAATACAAGGATTCAAGTTCGTAGGGGCGCTGGCCTTGGTGATGCTTACGGCCAACTTTGGAAAGCTCACGGCCGCAACGCTGTCTTTGTTATATTTCAAGGCGCCCTTGACAGAAGCGCTGTGCCTTGGTTTCATCATGAGTTCCAAAGGCATCGTCGAGATGTCCATTTACAATGTTTGGAAGGACGAGAAGGTATATACATATTAATACATTATTAATTTAATTATATATATATATATATATATAGGCCTTAAATTATAATATTAATGGATGGAATTGGATGGGTTAATTAGAACAGATCCTGGACGAAGGGTTGTTCAGTGTTCTGGTTATGTCAGTGGCTTTGGCAGCAACGTTCATGCCGATGTTCGCGACAGTGTTCTACAATCGTTCAATCGAATATGCAGATATAAGGAGGCAAAGAAACATCCCTCGCCACAAACAGATCCGCATTATGGTATGCATCCTTACCCATGAAAACGTTGCCATCATGATCAGGATGTTACAAGCATCAAACCCCAGTATAAGGAAGCCCATCCATGTGTGTACTCTACACCTTATCCAGCTGGTTGGGCGTGCATCACCAGTCCTCCTCTGCCACACTACCTCCATGAAGCCCAAACCATCTCCCTCGGAGCGCATCATCAATGTATTTCACTGCTTTGAGCGATCTCTCTGTGGAGCCATCACATTTCAAGCTTTCAGTGCAATGTCTCCACGCGAACTCATGCACAATGACATATGGAAGATTGCACACCAGGAGGACATCTCCTTAATAATCCTTCCCTTCCACAAAACATGTGAAATCGGTGGCACACTGCAGCAGGCTTCAGGCTCTGCCGCCTTTGGTGCAGCTGTGAGGAACCTCAATCTCAATGTCCTCGCAACTGCACCTTGCTCCGTCGGCCTTATTATTGATCGTGGTCTCTTTGCTGCCTCCACCACCGCCATGTCACTGGAGCAACTCTCACTTCGTGTGGCTGTCATCTTTTTGGGTGGTGCAGACGACCGAGGAGCATTGCTACATGCTTCCCGGATGGTGGAAGGTCCAACCACAGCTTCCCTCCAAGTCACACAGTTGATCCTCTCCGACTGTTCTAATCCCAACGATTGGAACGTCAAATTTGACACCGCAGCCATCACCAATTTTAAATCAACCACCTCCCATTGTAAAAATGTTTTCTTCAGAGAAGAGGTGGTGGAAGACGAAGAGCAGATGGTGAAGATTATTCGATCCATTCACACTAGCTCTGACCTTATATTGGTGGGAAGGCGCCACACCATGGAATCCCAGATCATGGCCGGGATTGGAGAATGGTCTGAATTCCCAGAGCTAGGTGTGATAGGGGACGTACTTGCTTCATCCGATACAGATGGCCGATTTTCAGTCTTGGTGTGGCAACACCAAGCAGGTTAATTTAGATCAGCTTGGCTCGTCATCGTAGAATGCTGCAGGCAACAATTAATTAAAATTAGGCCCTGTATATAATTACCAACAAATTAATTAGTTGTTCTAGTCTAGAAACTGAAACTCTATTTATTTGTTACTCGATCACCCACCCTATGACTAATCTAATGTAATGTGTGATGTTAAAGATGCATGAGATGTATACGGTAGCTAGCTAGCAAGCTTTCTTTATTAATTTGCATGAGATATCATCCATCCATCCATCCATTCATTCATGTTTTAATGTTTCCAACGTATACACGCATCTTCTTAATTCACTCACATTCTCTTGCTAATAGCCTACCTCTATCAATTCTGCATGTATAGAATGGATTGGATCGATGCGCCACCTCTCAGACTGATGATGGATTTAAAATTTAAAATAGCCTTCAACTAATTTAATTGTATCTTCAATCAAACACAATAAAGTTGATTATATATATATATATATATATATATATATATTATATGCGCCCATATTTGTAAATAACAAAGGGCGCCATGTGCTTGACAAAATTATAATGGCTCAAAAATAAAGTTGAATTGGACCTGCATTTGAAGTTTAAAAAAGAAAAATTTTTGATAGGTATCCTATATTTTAGGTTGAGTGTCAATTTAGTACCCAAACTTTAAAATGCTACAATCTAGTACTCAAATTTTAAAAATGCGACAATCTAGAAAATGCTATTAACCATCCCTTAAGTGTCATGAAAAAGACATAAATACCCTTTAAGTGTCATCTAATTTTCTTTGTTAACCATCTGCAATCTGCAAGACTATAGCCTGCAACAATTATAGAGAGGAAGGCTGAGCACCTACAGACAGTTGAACAGTCACCCAGAAACCCAGAAACCGGTGGCCAGAAGGGCTCCGATTCTGGGTAGTTTTTTAAAACATTGAAATTTTGTATTACAGTTTCTCTTATTATCCTTTTCACATGACATGGTTTGACAAAAGAAGCAAAGGCAAAGCCAAACTCTCTCTTCCGCTGAGTCAAGTTCAGACCGTCAGACGCTTACATCGAAGGGACGTGAAGACCGACGACTACACCCATGAGCAGAAATTGCCGTTTAAGCTGACCAGAAACTCTGTTTCTGTTCTTAATGGGTTTCAGGGAACTTTTGTATTCCACAATTGTGTCCAAGTCGTCCTGATTTATAGAGTAGGCATCCATTAACTCAACAGCATTCTGAACTGCTTCAGCCTTAGAAAGTGTCTAAAGAGGTTCAGTTAATCGTTTTAGAAGAAGAGTGAAGTAATCAACTCACAAGGTTTCCCTATCAAAATTGTATCACGAAATGCAAGAAGATGAGCATGCACATCTTCCAAAGGCCTCAATTGTCTCCCACTATAGAATTCTTTCCAAGCCACCCACCAAATCTATTCAAGGGACTCTGTTCTCCCATGTAGCGCAAAGCAGCAGGGATTATGCAAGATGCAAAGCAGCTAGTTTGGGAGAGTTGCCACTGTTGGTATCTTATAATTTGAACATTGATTATATCGCCATTTGCAATAGACTCTGCAGCACGTGCAAGGAAGTTCATTCTGTTGATCCCAATATCATCCTTACCTGCAAAGCTAGGTACATAATTGATGTAATTTTCCTGAATAATAAGAGAGACTAGATCCGGGTCGCTCATGCTTAAGTCAATTCTCTCATCCATTCTCAACTTCTCCCCATTAAAGCCAAATAGCTTATCAACGAAAGTAAAGGGTGAAATGTCTTCATCCTTTAAACTATTAAGAAGACCGTTTCTTATGTCATCGTATTTGATAGTAGACATTGAGAGGCTCATATACTGCAACTGATTTAGTGTCATTCACATATCTACATTAATTCTCTTTCTCTCTCTCTCTGCAAGTTCTTCAAGTACAATCTCATTAACTTGAAGTCCAAAAAAAATCTATTTCTAGAAAGTAAGAATCAAACAATACTACAATAGTTGACAAGGTTTTTTAGCTTCTTACTATAGCGATCATTACAGATACAGATGATAGGTATCTTGGAAATCTGGACTGTTGAGAGCTTGGGCTTTGTTTCATTTTCTTGAGAAAGAAGATGATGACCGGTATGTTTTATTTCCAAGGATAGTTTTGACATTTTCAAAAGTTTTACATGAGATCATGTGATATACACGGACGGTTCATTAATGGTAGGTACTAGATTGTGTATTTCAAAAGTTCAGGTACTATATTGTCGCATTTTAAAGTTCGGGTATTAAATTGGCACATTGAATCTTCTAGTTGAAATGAGTCAATCCATGATGTAATAAATAGATAAAACTATAGAAAATTAATTTATAAAAAATTGAGCGTGTTTCTAATTATTGTTATTAATCATGAAACCAGAAAATAAAATTAATATCTAATCCATGACCAACGAACTCACATCCGCAACCACCTTTTCTGAATCAAGCCCACTCCATTCGTCTTCTCTTCCCCTTCTTTCCCCTTCTCTGATATACAAACCCCACCCTATTCTCCACTCCGTCAATAATCCCAATGCCGACAACAACTATTTGAGAAACCCTAAGGATAAGTATAAGAGATTTTTAATGGATTCCATGAAAATTTAGAAGGGATAATCAAGTGCTGGTTTGTAGAACACCTCATTTCTCTAGATCCTATCATTAATCTCTACATAATCTAATCAAAATATGTTGAAAACAAGATCACCATCATCTTATTCATACAACCCTCAGGATCTGTCTAAAAAATGCAATTGATTTGCAACAGATGGTTGTCTCTGTCAAATCCCATCACTGGGTAACACCACTGTGGTGTTTACAGAAGTGTCAACTAGAAAAATGCAAAGAAGTAAATTCATCAACGTGTAGTAATTGTTTGAAGGGATTCAGACCAAAATCGACGGAGTGAAGTATATGAAGTTGCTCCAGTTGGTGTGATTGCAATAGATCGACATTGAAGAAGAAGAAGAAAGAAGATAAAAAAGACAAACGGGGTGGGCTCATGCGATTTGTAGTGACCACTGCAACATACACTATTGTCAGCATTGGTGTAGATGGTAGAGTGGAGAATAAGGGTGGGGTTTGTAGCTTAGAGAAGGGAGAAAAGAATGAGAACGCAGAGTGGGAATGGGGGAGAGGTTTGTAGCTTAGAGAAGGGGGAAAAGAAGAAAAATGCAGTGTGAGAATGGTATGGGATTTGTAGCTCAAAGAAGGCAGGGGGAAAGAAGGAGAACCAATGGAACCAATGGATAGTGGAGCTCAAAAACAAGCTAAAGTATTTTTTAAGGAAAAATACTTTACAACTCACTGCAGAATTTCAAATTACAGCCCCCCTTATAAACCCTATTCTACCCGTGGATTTGACATCAATCCATGGTCAGGATTCATCTCATTGTACGTGGAGCTAAAGAATTCTGAACTGGGTTCATTAGTCATTCTCCCTATTTTTTAATGTTTATATGATGGGCTTCCGACAACACCACAACAATAGCAACGATGGCATCTCTTAGAGAGCAGGCTCACTCCACCAATCCAAAATCCCATCCCGAGATTGACCGGAGAGCCCAAATAGCCCCGTTTTGCTTGATTGACCTCCCATTTGGGAATCCCAATACCATATATAAAATAATCTTGGAGTCTCTTTTCGGGCTTCCGGTCGGTGGTCGCTGGCAGTGTGAGATACGCTCACTGACATTCTATTTTTGCCGCTAGACCTGGCAATTGGGTTGTATGGGTTGGGTCAAGACACTTCAGTTAATTGGATTGATTTTGGGTCGGGTTGAATTCCGGGTTGGCTTGTTAAATGCTAGGCCCTAATCATAATTGTTCGCATTAGGGTTGACTCACAAGTCAATTCAAGTCATCCCCAAAAATAATTAAAATTTAAAATAATAAAGAAAAATACAGGAAAAATGCCAAAATTAAAGGAATTAACCTTAAAATTCCAAATATAAATAATAAAACTTGAACATTTAATAATTCAAAAAGTAAAAAATAAAGAGTAAAGACTAAATAGAAAAAAACAAAGAGTGGAAACTTCTAGCGATGCATAAATAGTCTCAATTTGACTTGGCAATCGGGTCAGTGGGTTGGCCCATGACCCAACACAGTTTTTTCCTGGTTGGGTTGGGTTGGGTCAGTCTCACATTCAGGTAGCTAAATATGAGAGCCTAACCCTGTTTTTTTGTGTTGGGTTGGGTTTGCAGGTTGGGTCAACTTTTTGCCAAGTCTAGTTGCCGCAAATGATGGGATAAGGTTTGTAGCTGAAACTTAAAAAAGGGGAGAGATGAAGATGAAAATGGAATCCTACTACGGGTTTGCAGTGAACAATGGTGAGAGTCTGAGAGATGAGAGGAGGGGGTCTGTTAATCAAAATGCCTGCTTAATGGGTTTAATTTGGGACTCGGAGTCCACTCCCTTATATCAATATTAGGTCTAGCAATCTTGACCCCAACCCAATTGACCCACCCACCTTGGAACCCATCGAGACCCACCCAATCTATTAGTTGGTCAAGGCCTCTCTATACTCGAGGGTACTCATTAGTGTTAGGATGGGTTGGGTCAAAGTTGGCTCTATCTATACTTACCAAATCTCAAAAAAGCAGCAATTAAAGTGATTCAAAATCAAGCCTCTTAGCGCATTCACATCTAATTAGAATTTCAAATCACAATGCCACGTCATTTTCGAACTAAAAGTGATAAAATAGATTTTATTAACTTTAGTGTTCACATGCAATTTTACAAAAGCAATTTTATAAAGTAATATTATGAAAAGGACTTTAAAGAAAGCACTTTTACGAAAGTACTTTTATAAAAGCACTTTTACATGAAAGCACTTTATGAAAGTACTTTTACAAAAACACTTATGAAAGCATAAAAACACTTTTACACGAAGGCACTTTTATGAAAGTACTTTTATGAAAACACTTTTATGAAAGCATAAAAACACTTTTACACGAAAGCACTTTTATGAAAGTACTTTTATGAAAGCATAAAAGCATTTTATGAAAGTACTTTTACGGAAGTACTTTTGTGAAAGCACCTACAAAATCACTTTTATAGAAGTACTTTTGTGAAAACACTTTTATAAAAGTTATACATTTTTTGCATTTTCTGCAATTTTTTTTACTATCTTCTGCATTTTTGCAAATTTTTAGTATTTTTCTGCATTTTTTGTAATTTTCTGGTATTTTCTACATTTTCTGAAAGTTTTTGCATTTTCTACAATTTTTGGTGCTTTTCTGCATAACTTTTGCAAATCTGTAGTGTTTTTCATGCATTTCCTGCATTTTTCTAGATTTTTTTTAAATATTTTCTGATTTTTTTTTCTGCAAAAGTTCTGAATTGTTTGTATTTTTTTTTTCATTTTCTCCAATTTTTTCTTCTATTTTCTACATTTATCTTCAATTTATGCATTTTCAGGTATACAAGTTGACCTGACTCATTTTTGTCACATGGCAGTCTTGAGAGAGATTATTCTCTCAAAGATTATTATTTTGGGTATACGTGCCGCCGTCTTGACCCATTTTTGTGTTTGTAGATGAAGATAGGTGGGTTAGTATGGGTGAAACTGATTAAGGGTCAATATTGATAGGTTATGATGGTGCACGATTTGGCTGTTCCTAGCTGGATGGTGATCCAAACTCCAATTGGGCAACAAGCTGGATTAATCTGCAAAACAGTGGCTCAGAGAACCCGGGGTAGTTAACCCGACGGGGTCGCTTTGATGCTTAAGTCAGTATTTATGTTGTGAATGCGAGCTGAATGTTTGAAAGCTTGAGTGCTAGTGAGTAGTGTAATCACGCATACCTTTGCCTTGAGGTTTCATGTCTTTATATACTGAATTAGTCGTGGGCCTTACGAAAGAGCCCCGGGATCTCCGGGTTGTGGAGATTAGGTTTGTTCCGTTTTTGAAGAAGAGCAATATGTAGATAAGGCTTATCGTTTTACCTCCGACTCTGGCGGAGCCGGGACGAGTTCTCATCTTGATCTCGGGAAATTCAGGATTCGTTGGCTTATCGTGATCTCGAGAAATTCGAGATCTATTGGAGAGGCCTTTGGAGTCGGTTATATAGCGATTCGGGCTATTAGCTCCGAGTTGGAATTTCGATTCTTTAGTCCTGAACTGAATTGGGTTTTGAGGTGCCTCTACACCGATGTGAGTTTTGGGCCGAGGTGGTTGAATACCCGAATTCCAAATGTCGCAAAGTAGGCTTGCTCGGCTGAGTTGTCATCCCTTGATCAGATCGTGCCTACATGTCTCCTTCTTGCTAGGTCATGCTACATCACCCAACATCACATTAAATGGGTCAATATGAGTGGGTCAGGATAGGTTAAGGTTACGGTGGGTTATGACCCTTTAACAAGGATTGATGATTTTAACCAATCCGCTAATTTGCCTCCCATAATTAATATTAACGTTAAATTTAAACTTGGAACAGACCATAAAAACGTGTTCACATTTCATTCGTGGTCGCCCGATGAAATGCGACCGCAGTTGCCGCAGGTGCGAGCAACCTACAGATTCCATCTCAACCGCGGGATGAGAAAATTGTTAGTATCCATCCATCTGCTACTCCATTTGCTAAACCAAAATGGATTCCAGATTCAGGTGCAGTGCTACAGGCTTACAACATTTGACTTGTTTTCAAAAAGTAAATTCAAATATCTTACATCTACTATCTTTCAAGATAATCTCTTACATCTGCTTAATAGAGGTGGGTGGTCCACGCGCAAGCATTCAATCCATTCTGGTTTCAAGTAAACGCAGATTTAATTTGGTCAGACTTCATTATCAGTACCCCTACCATTTTAATTAATTTATTCGTTGACAAATCATTTCTTATAATATAAAAATATTTTATAGTTAATGAAGCCACTCATGGAATTTTCACAGATAACCTCCCGAGAGAAAGCAAATTAGTATTGTGTTAAAAACTAGAGTCGAATGAGTCAAGCTCGAATCAGAAAAATAACTCAAATGATCAACCATTTGTCAAAACAATTAGACTTTATTTTGATAACTAAAACAATTCGAATTACTCGACTTTGTAAACGCATTAATAAAACAATTCAAATTTCCATAAATGCTTAATATAAATATATTCATTTTCTATATAAAATGCAACTTCAAGTAGTTGTTGGTTAATCAGGACACGCTTCATTATAGCTTAATATAAATATATTTAGTTTTATTTGTGATTTGTGAGGTATATACCAATTTCATCAAAAAGTTGGTTGAATCAATCGGCCGGTACTGCTTCATTTTCCCAACTTAATAAAATCAAAATTTATCCTACAGTCTGGCGCAATCCCAATCCAGCATGGACATTATTTTAGTAATTTCCAATTTGTACATGTAACCGGGAATTTTAAACTCTTTTATGCAACATCGTTGGGTCGGTGGTTTTGATTCTCTCCGGCATCTCTCCCTCTTCCTGACTCTTTCACCATTGAAGGAGTTCTTCTGAGATTCGACTTTTTTATTGGCTAAAAGTATGGAAAATTTCCAGTCATGGAATAAGAGGGGGGGGAAATCAAGCTAGACACAGAAAGAGGAGAAGACCACCATTGGTTCCCTTTATTTATTTACTTTGTTTCTATTTTCTTATCAGCAGAAAGACATGAATTATTAACCAACTTTTAAAACGCCAAAGGTTGTGAATAATTATTGCTTCTTCTCTGTTTCTTTGAATCCAAGCCATCGCCTCGGATAATCAGGCATATCGCTTTGTGGGACGCCAGAAATCTATATTTTCCTGTTGCCACCTGATTTCAAGAATATTTGGTGGGCATTGGATATTGATCGGAGATTGGTGGGTTTGCTCCTGACTCTTGTAATTCGTCTTATACCTATAGAAAGTGAAAATTCAAATTAAGATGGGAGCTTGTTGTAGTATGAATAGGAAATTTGAAGGATACATGGTGCAGCAGGAGGAGGAACACGACGATGACGAGAAGGAGAATGGTAGACGTGAAGGAGATTTCGGGTCCCGTGTTATGTTACGGGGGTCTTGCGAGTTTGCATCCATGTTCACACAAAAGGGAAGAAAAGGGATTAACCAAGACGCCATGACCATTTGGGAGGTAAGGTAAATAATGAATTCACAAAACAAAATTAAACGGTGGAATTAAGGTCGTTCTTGATTTGGTTTAATTTTTCGTTTCGTTTTTTTCTGAGTTTGACGTTGATGCTGTTCGTAAATGACATTAATGTTGACCCTGCATTAATTTCTCAGTTCCTGAGAATTCTTTCTTTCGCTGGTTGGTTAATTTTGTGAGCACTGAGCAATGATCTCTCGTTGATGATTTTCTGATTCTCTTAGCTTCTTGTTTCGTTTTTTTCGGGAACAAAATATAAATAAATTCAGGACTTTGCCGGAGAGAAAGACCTAATCTTCTGCGCTGTGTTTGACGGTCATGGTCCCTATGGTCACAAGGTTGCAGGCTGCGTACGAGATGCTCTACCTTCAAAGCTTTCTTCCAGATTGAAATCATGGAAACTGGGTGAATATGATCATAAAGAGGATGGCAATGACGCCTCTTCCGACGATGTCGGCCATTACAGTAACGATGAGGCGAACAGCCAAGACAAGGATGGTGGTGAAAGTGATCATAATCGATCCTTGTGTTCGTTGAAAACCTGTTTTGTCAAGGCATTCGAGGACATGGATGAAGAACTGAGGCAAGACTCAACTATCGAGTCCTATTGCAGTGGTACAACAGCAGTAACCGTACTCAAAAAGGTAGGTTTACGACTTTACGCAGGATGGATGCAATCAACTGGTATGCATGGGTATAATCCTTGCAATATAATTGCTGCTAATTGAGGCCAGGTTTCTGATTACTTGTCTAATAATTCCTTTGAATTTGTGTCCGTAGGGGGAACACTTGATAATCGCTAATTTGGGGGATTCTCGTGCAGTGCTTTGCACCATAGACAACAAAAATCAGCTCGTTCCCATCCAACTCACGGTCGATTTAAAGCCAAATATTCCAAGTAGGCGGTTTCTCTAGGGACAATAATATATAATTAATATATATATATATGTTATTACGTACTTGATCCATCCATCTCTCTCCTTGGAGAAGGAATTGGGTGTGCAATAAATCATCAATTTCTCTCACTAACTCTTCTCTCCCTTCTTCTGTATATGTTGTTCTCTTTTGTTCCCTTTAATTTCGATCCATGTAATTTAATTAGGTGAAGCTGAAAGGATAAGGAGGTGTGGAGGGAGAGTTTTTGCCATGGAGGATGAGCGCGATGTGTATAGAGTTTGGGTGCCTGACGAAGATTATCCTGGTCTTGCCATGGCGAGGGCTTTTGCTGATTTCTGCTTGAAAGATTTTGGCCTCATTTCTACCCCACAGGTTTCTTATAGAAAGATTACTGACAAGGATGAATTCGTTGTCATGGCGACTGATGGGGTACGTACGTAAGAACAATACAAACAGAAACACCCAAAAGCAATATTATATATGGATTATGGATTATGGAGAGAGAGATTAGGTTGATTTGGCATGCATGAAGCTGGTTATATACATAAGCATTAATTAATTATATACATACGCATTAATTAATCAAGTACCTCTTGATGAGAAATTGTGGGTTGTTCAGGTATGGGATGTATTATCAAATGAGGAGGTGGTGGAGATTGTTGCATCGGCACAAAAGAGATGCATGGCAGCCAAGTTATTAGTGAATCATGCTTGTCAAGCTTGGGAAAATAAATACCCAAATTCAAAGGTTGACGATTGTGCAGTTGTATGCCTATTCCTGAAGCAGCAGTCCTCATTTACCAAAACCACGCCGGTTTTGATGAACAATGAGAGTCGTAACAGAAGATTGGACATTTCTCCAAGTGTTAAAATAGTCGGTCTGGTTGATGGAGCCCATGAAACCTCGGAGGATACAACCACTGCAACACCAAAGGAGGAGTGGACTGCTATTAAAGGCTTTTCTAGAAATAATTCTATATTGAAGCTTCCTCGAGTGCTGGATGAGAAAATTTGATTTCTTCTCTTGTTCAAATCATGTAGCAGAAGCTCAATATATAATACGCTTTCCACTCTCCTGCTGCTAAACATGGTCTTCTTCATAGAGACCTACCTCAATGGAGTCATACTCAAAATAGAAATTTGGAGAAAATATTTATATACAATAGTGAAATGAATAATGACACTTCACTTCAGTTTTCTCATTGATGTTAAGATTGTATATTTACCAAGGTTTTTAAGTAAGAATAGTTTATTGATGCTGATTTTAAAACAATAGAGTTATAAACTCATTCCTGATTCTTCTCTCTCTCTCTCATCACATTTCCAAAGAGATGGATGATGATCCAATCTCACCTTAATTAGTTCCAGTTGGGTTTGTGAGTGTTTTCCAAGTTTTTCACTCTTTCTTGTCTTTTACCCTTGGGTGCAACTTGAGCAGGTTCCGGTTGCGATGTTATTAAAATTTAAATAGGCCCGGCCCAAATAGGCCCTCCTTTAAAATTATATATTATATTTTGGGTAGGGACACTTACATGTTACACCCCCAAACTTTCATTTGCATTAAAAACCCCTTTAAATTTTTAGTCCAATACATTGTCCCCTCCATTAGTATTCTTTCAGATAACCTTAATAAAGATTCTAAGATTGTTGCCATTTGTGAAGTCTGCTGCAAAATGGGCGATGCTACAATGGAGTGTACAAATAAAAAAAAAAAAAAAAACAAAGAGAAAGGCTTAGGGTTCCGCAAAGAAGGTCGATGATGCAACATTAGAGATGACTAATGAAAAGAAATCCGAATATAAGGGAAAGAAAACTTTGGTGCTCATGCAAGAGACTAGTAAGAATGATAAGCAGGTGGAAACGACAATAGAGAAGAACTTGCAATACCTATTTAGTAGATCTTCATCTTGTCAATATAGATTTAAAGGTGTTCCAAAAGCATGGCATGGAATGAACTCTAGTCATGTAGCCACTCCTACAGAAAAAACATGAGCACATTGGTAAGAATACGACCAAGGAGAAGAGTGATTCAAATCAAGAATGGATAACAAAGTAGAAAATAAGAGGGGAAAAACGAATTCTAAGGCTATGTTTGGAAGTGCTTAAGTTAAAAATAATTGCTTATTGAATGAGTGCTTATTCCAATAAGTATTTATTTGCATTTGGCACCCAATATTTTCAAGTGCTTATTTTTTAAAATAAGCACTTATTTTGTATATTTTGTATTGGGTGTTTGGTAGTCTTTTTCTCTAATAAGCACTTAAATAAGCATTTGTGACTATTTTGTCCTTCATTTTCTTTCAAATTTTCAAAATATATCATTTAAAAGCACTTTAGCTAAACTACTTTTTCAAAAACACTTTTATGAAAGCACTTTTATAAAAGTACTTTTGCAAAACTGCTTTTGCAAAAGTAATTTTATGAAATCAATTTTATAAAAGTACTTTTATGAAAATACTTTTATAAAAGATCTTTCATAAAATTACTTTTTTAAAAGTGCTTTCATAAAAGTACTTTTATAAAATTCAACTAGGGATAATTTTATAAGTGGTATTTTAAAGTTCAACTAGAGATAATTTAGGAAGAAAAAAATTGAATAAGTGCTTATTGTATAAGCATTTAAAAAAGGATAATGCAACCAACCACTGAATTTAATACAACCAACTCTCTAATTTGGTAGAGAAGATAGAGAATCAGGCCAGAACTGGGTAAGGTATGGTAGGGTACACTATTAGGTTAAACCCAACCCTCCCCAACTTGTATATTGTTGAAAAGCAAATGAACTTTATGTATTAACTAGATGTTGAATTTAATAATATTTTAAACTTTATGTGAAGGATAATTGACTATTTATGTATTTTTACATATCTTAACCAAATATTGGAAATTTTGTCATTTGCTCACATTACTTTACTTATTTATTGCTTATGTATAACAATAAATAATAGAAAATTATATGCATATCGTAAACCCAACCCGCCCTACCCTTGAATGCAGAGAGGGTAGTGTCATGGAGGGTTCTGCATCTTCTTGTGTGGGGAGGGTTTGGATTCTCAAAATCCAACGTAGAACAAGTTTTAGGGCAAGTACAAGTTAGGAAATTTAGGGAGGCGTGTAGGGTCTAGAATTTCAAAACCCATTTTTCTAGTTAAGTTAAAAGGAGTCTTAGTAAACTTATTCCATTAGCCATATTAACAAAGCAGGGGAAAGTATCAAAATCTAAAAGTTTAGGGGGTCTTTGTTGTAAATGAAAGTTTGGGGCTAACTTTCACTATCCCCAAAGTACAGGGTTGTAATCTGTAATTTACACTTTAATTTGTTATTGTTATGATTTTAATATCATATTCTTCTCTAATGGCACCCAATACAGCATTTCCTTCTAATTGCATGCGATCACATGCAATGTAGCAACTCTGGTGTTTGCAATTTGTAGAGTTATGAAAGGGTCTCTATGTTGCTATTAGGGCTGCAAATGGATTGGATCGAATCAGATATAAATATATCCAAATTTGATTTATTTATATTTGAATTTGAATTGAATCATATGCATCAGATCTTTAGTGGATTCAAATTGAATTCAGATTATAATTAAAAACTAAATATTATATAAATAAGACTAAAAATGATCAAACTGTATGCAAGACTTGCGAGCATCATGTCATAATTAAAAAATATACTAAAAGCAATTATAATTAAAAAAAATACAATCAATCAATAGGGATATCAGTAATCATTCTACAAGAAACCTGTGGGGTAGAAATGAGGCGAGGGCTTTGGCCGATTCAACTTTCAGAATGGAATATCCATAATAATGTAAAACAATGTATAGTGGTTAAAAAGCCGACTTATTTGAGGAACAGACAATAGGGATCAAATACACCATGGGAGTTCCACACCGGAGGGTGGTTCATCTCGGAAATATAAAAATATTTTATTTCTCTTCCTGCGTCTATTTATATCTACAATCTATAATATATGATATATAAAGGGGATACATGCTTTGAGTTCAGTGTAGATCACAAAAGTTGAGAGTTCGAATCTAAAATCAGCCGTACATTGGGAACATCCCCCATACCTGTCTGTGTGTTGTTTTTATTCATGATGGAGATGTTCCCTGATTTGTGCCGTGAGCTGAGGTCGGTGCGAGGAGCAGATCCGAACTCAAAAGTGGAATTCAAATACCATATGAATCCGAATTTACTCTATAAAGTGTGCCACGGACCTATTTTACAACACTTGCATAGGGAGATATTCCCAATGCATGGCTACATCCAGGTGTGAAGTTGATGTGAGATGTTTTCCCGTGAAGAGCATATCCAAATTCATACCATATATCTATATGATTAATATTTGCACACAAGTTGATTAATAATGCTTCCCAATGAGATAACAAAGTATATGCAAATAAGGGTGTCAATGAACCAGTTTTGGATTGGGCCCCATCCAGTCCAAAATATATACTTATTAGATTGGATTGGACCTGGTGCGTTAGTGATAAATTTATATTGGATTGGATTGGGTTGGATTAAGCCAATATCTGATTCATTAATATAAGATAAGAACATAGGTGTCAATGAACCGGGTTTAGGTTGAAACCAATCTAAATCAAAACGAATTTGAATAGATTGGACAGTCTAAGCACTGAATTGAAATGGTCCAAAATATTCAATGGATTGGATTGGACCTGGTCCATTTATAATGGACTTACATTGGACTAGATCAGATTGGACCAAATCCAATCCAATTGGCAAGGGAGGGTTGTCCTTTCAAATTCTTTTAAAATCGTGTGATGTCAATTGTCTAGAAAATAAAAGGGTAATATGGAATTTTATATAAAATAGAACCAAAATGATAATTTCTTAAGGTTGTGTTTGGTTGCAGTGTAAATTCATTTGCACTGATGCAAAACTATGGTAGTGCAAATGATTTGGGTACAAGTTTTAATTTATTTTTTATTCAAATACCCTACATTGTTTGGTTGCAATAAAAATAAAATAAAATAAGTCCCAAAAATGGAATAAAATAAAATCCAAAACAAAATTAAACCAAAATTTCTAATTTGCATTTTTTTTATTTGCACTCCCATACTGGACCGGACAAACCAGGAATCGATCAGGTGACCGGTTTTGTTTTCCCCAAAAACCGGATTTCCCTCCAAAACTGTTGATTTTGGTCAGTGAACCGCTGAACCGGGTGGTTAACCGTTCGAACGGTTTACACCGTTGTTTATTTTTTTGATTTTTTTTTTGTTTTTTTATTTTTCTATCAAAATGGGTCGAGTGTTCGGTTCGAACGGTCGGACCGTTCGACCCAGCAACCGGACCCCTGACCGGTTCGGTTTTAAAAACCATGCTTGGATGTTCGACCATTAAAAAAAAAATCTAATTTAGCTGCATTATATTGACCATAAGTCAGTGGTCAAAATTCAACGCCTAAATGCGTTACGTTGACCTCCTTGGGTTTCTCTCGCCCGCCCATTCGTTCCCCTTAATAACTCAATTATCCTTTGTGTTTGGATTTCTCTTTCTTCTCAGCTTCGATTTTCTGCTTGACGTCAACTTCTACGACCCAGTGCCGCCGTGGAGCATGGATCCCGTAAATGACACATTTCTGTTTCAGAATAAGATGGTATGCCAATGTCCTACGAAGATTAATTCCAATGGGGTTTGGTTTGGACAAAACCCTCTTCAATACGCAGCACCGCTTTTAATGTTGCAGGTAGTCACAACTTCCCTTTCATGGAGAGCGATGGAACTAGTCCTAAAGCCAATTAAACAACCTATGATCATCATGCAAATTATGGTACGTACGTTTCCTGGCGGGGCCGACGTCTTCTTTCTCCTACGAACCCTAATCCTTGTATATATAAATCATATAATCAATACGATATTCTTAATTGTTTGGGTGACTTTTTTTTTTTTAAAAAAAAAAGAGAAAAAAAAACTCGATCTGTTTAATTCTCTGTACAGGGAGGTATAATTCTTGGTCCTTCGTTGGTAGAGCGCACCAGGATTCCTTCGGTTCTGTTCCCCATAAGATCGAAAACGACATTGGATACAATAGCAAGCTTCGGTGTCATTCTTTTCCACTTTCTGGTGGGAGTGAAGACGGACTTCACCATGATAACAAAATCAGGAAGGACTGCAGTGGCTATAGGGATATCAGTCTTCCTCTCTCCATACATCCTGGGTCCGCCCCTCAGCTTGTTTATCAGGTATTTTATCCCCATGGGGGAAAACTTAGGGACATTGGTTCCCGTTTTAGCAGCAACACAGTCGGTGATGATATTTCCAGTTGTATGTTCCCTTTTGTCGGAGCTCAGGTTACTTAATTCCGACTTTGGCCACCTGGCCATGTCTTCTTCCATGATCCTGGACGTATGCAATTGGTTTACCATGGCCATCATTCATGCCCTGGACGTTGGAAATGCAGGATTTGGACGTTTAACTTGGCTATACTCTGCTTTGTCGTGTGTGGCCATGGTGGGCTTCATTTTTCTGGTTTTCCGGCCAACCTTAATGTGGGTTAGCCGGAACACCCCACAGGGAGAACCAGTGAAGGAGGGGTACATTGCATCTATCCTTATAACATTGCTGGTATCCACCCTCATAAGCGACACCATTGGTCAACGTTACCTATTTGGGCCTTTAATTTTGGGGATTGCTGTACCAGTTGGACCTCCTATAGGCTCCACTTTAGTGGACAGGCTTGACCTCATCACTACATGTTTGTTCTTTCCAATCAACTTCGTTATCATCGGAATGCAGACTAATGTGCGTAGCATACACATGGAGACTATAGAGATCATGTCGCTAGTTGTCCTAGTTAGCTCATTGGGAAAGATAGCAGCAGCCATGGTGCCTTCCCTCTGCTTCAAGGTACCAATTCGCGAAGCTCTCTTGATTGGCCTCGTCATGAATGTTAATGGAATCATCGAAATTATCACCTATGGCATCTGGAGGGATAAAAAGGTGATGCTCTCTCTCTCTCTCAAGTCTCAAGACTCTCAACCTCTTTCCTGCTGAAATCGATTAAGTAATTGATTAAATAACATATGCATGACAGTAGAACTGGAATACATGCATGCTTCACTTCTCTGTCCTTCATTGGAAAGTAATTAAAGAAAAACTTTTTAACGAACAATTCGCCAAATTATATACATGAAGATCGATGGGGGAGGATGCCATCTTTCTTAATTAGGGTATACTTTTTTTGATGTGCAGATATTAAACGAGGACACCTACTCAGCCCTGATCATCTTGGTGTTGTTGGTAACAGGGAGCATTTCACCCTTAGTGAAAATCTTGTATCGCAAACGCTCAAGGAAATACCTCTCCTGCAAGAGAAGGACCATCGAACACTCAAAACACGAAACAGAGTTCCGAATACTTGTGTGCGTCCACAACCAAGACAACGTACCCACCATTATCAATCTCCTGGAAGCCTCAAATGCCACAAAAGATAAACCCATATTTGTTTTCATTCTACAACTGGTAGAGTTAGTGGGCCGCTCTACTCCTTTCCTTGTGTCCCATGTACAACAGAACAAATCGCTCTCAGCATCCACCGGACTGAACTCGGAACGTATCTTAAATGCTTTCAGTTATTACGAACAGCAAAACAGAGACCGTGTTATCCTGCAGCCCTTCATCGCCATGTCTCCATATGTGTCCATGCACGAATACGTATGTTCAATGGCTGCCGACAAGAAGACCTCCATCATAATCCTTCCTTTTCACAAGCAATGGGCGGTTGATGGCAGGGTTGGGTCGGTGAAGGCTGCGGTCAGGAATCTTAATTGTAATGTGCTCGATAAGGCCCCCTGCTCTGTTGGCATCCTTATAGACCGGGGTGTTCTCAATGGCTCCAGGTCCGTGCTCTCGTGTTTGTCGTCTTACAAAGTTGCAGTGCTCTTCCTGGGCGGAGCGGATGATCGAGAGGCTCTAGCCTATAGTGCACGTATGGCTCGACAACGAAGCGTCAGGCTCACCGTGGTTCGGTTCGTAGCCATCAATGACAGGAGCAATACTGACAGGGAGAAGAAATTCGACGGGGAGGCATTGAATGAGTTTAGGCTGAGTAATATGGGGAATGAACGCATCATGTACAGGGAGGAGGTGGTGAAAGATGGGGAGGGAACGGTGAATGCGATACTGGGAATGCGGAATTCCTATGAACTAATGATCGTGGGAGGACAACGCAAGAAGAATTCGCCGTTTTTAATGGGCCTTACCGACTGGAATGAGTGTCCGGAGTTGGGAACCATCGGAGACATGCTCGCCTCTACTGATTTCGACGGTAAAGTCTCAGTTTTGGTAGTGCAACAACAGGCCAGAGTGGTAGGACTAGGATTTGTTGGGAACGACGACACCCCCATTAACGTTAACGCTAGGTCACTCGCTAGAAATAAGATGAAGTCGTTCGCTATTCACGATGAGACGGATGATGAAGAGAAGCAAAGGTTTATGATGGGTCAAACTCAAACTCAAAGTAAAATGTACAGGAATAGCATTTTCTAGCCTTTAGCCTTTAGCCTACCCATATATCCTACATCCTCCTCCGTCCCGTCCCCCACAAACATTTCCAACTGCAACTTCTGGGGGAATGGAGGATTCATCGTCATCATCATCATGTAAAAAGCATAAATATTTTTTAAAGAAAGAAAACATTTGTTCATTTAGCTCGTAGAAATTTTAATTACTAAATTCCTTGTCAAAAAACTCTTTATTTTTTCTTTTCTCCTCTTACAACAACACTGCTTGATCCTTTACTTCCATTTGCTTGCTCTGCATCCCATTGCCTATCATTACACTCCTAAATTAAATACCCACTCTCATGAGATTATACATGTATGTAACAGGCAGAGATCCGGCAGCATAAAATTGATACCCTTTTCTCTTTTCTTTTCTATGATTGAAAATAATATGCAACAATACACAATGGGAACTGATTTGGTGACATTAATTTTTTATTTTATTATAAGGTGCAGAAAATGAAAAAAAAAAATTAAGGTTGCATTTGGAAACGATGCAAATGGAGTATAAATCCCTGGTCAGGTAAACTTATACTCTGGTTCACTTTTGCCTGTGTTTGACAACATTACATTTACATTTATGTATTGACAAATAACAGACCAATGTATATTTACATTGATAATAAAATGTAAAAATACATCAATAAAAAAAAAGTAAAATTGCATTCAAGTGGGCTTTTGATAAAAAAAAAAGAAAAACATATGCTTTATTGAAATTATTGTTTGCATCCACTACAGCTAAAATTCTGTTTGATAAGAATGTAAATTTGTCAATGCAAAATTAGCCCGATTTAACAATTTATATGAACCGTTTTACACTACATATTTACATTCACACTTATTTGCATCATTTCCAAACACAGTCTAAAGAAAATTATTATTTATACTGATAATATGGGATTACTCTCGTGAATACGGTAATTCTAAACCTTGCATTTGCACTCAGTTTGGGAAGTGAGCAAATAAAAGGTTTAGCATCACGACCCTGCACAATAGTAGGGTTCCTATGACGAAATTATTCTCCATAATTGTTTATGATAATTGATACAGATAATATTGACCACGCCACCGAAAGACGATACGTGGCTCTCCTGAGGACATTTTCTTCATCTCACAAGATCTCGGGGACATCATCGTCCTTTCCTACTGAAGTCAATGCAGGGCCTCTATTGCGGAGGTTATGGGCTTGTGGAGGCCAATTCAGGATACTCCCACTTTGAACCAATAAGAAAATGTGCAACCAGGTCTTCTCTTTGAACCAGGAGTTGCACATCTTATTTGATACCATATCCAGGTCTCCACTACAAAGAGTTAAAGATCCTACCGCACTTCCATTTATCAAATAAGGCTGTCAATTCATCGGGTAGATCCAATAAACCCGAACCCAATTTAGTCCTCAACACAAATACTAAAAGTTGTCATGCCTCTTCAATCTCACTACCCGACTCTTGATTTATCAATCAAGAGATTTCCACTGCCCAAAGCCCACCCACCTAAATAGCCCCACCTCTCAACAAATACCAATGAAAATGCGTTCTCGTTTCTGCAAAGAGATTGAATAAAAAAGAATAAAATAGTTAGGGGACCAAGCTTTAAGAGAAAAACAAAGATAATTTGATTTGCAAAACCCTTCACACTTGAACACGGTTGAAAAACCTAACCAGTTTTCCAACAAGTCTGATCCTTATATCCGGTGCTCCAAATCTATATGTAATTAGGGGTGTTCATAATTTGAGTCAAATTAAACAGACCAATTTGGACCGATTCAACTGGTTCATTTTTTAAAGATGTCAGTCGGTTTGGGTTACTGAATTGAAATAAATCAAGAGATCAGTTTGGTTGCGGTTTAACATTTAAAAATCAAAACTGACCCAAACCAAACCGAACACATACCTATACCTTAAAATATCCATTATATAATTAGTAATTATCTTTCTTTTTAATTGGTTGTTTCTGTCTTGACACAACTCTTAGGTATATTCCAAACCGACCCTTCATGTTTGTGTCGGTTTCAATTTGGTAAACAAGCAACTTGACCAGGTCGGATCAATTAAATAGAATCCTTAAAATTGACCTAACCCGACCTATGAACACCCCTACATGTAATGATAAGGAGTAGAACTTGGGCAAGGTTGGATTGTGTATTTGTTTAAATTTGAATGGGCATGGCCAAAAAAATTAACTAACTTTCCATCCTCTTGCAAATTGTTATATTATGTGTACGGGGTTACTTCACCTATGAATTCAGATTAGCCAAACACGATGGCTATTCAATGGATTGTGGGACCAATGATAATGCCCCATGCCAGTCATAAAACACATGGGGCCCATAATGAAAAGTTAAATGGTTGTAGGTCTCATGCATGGAGTTTTATCAATGGTTTTACAGCCTGTTTAACAACTATTATGTTCAGCTAGTTCTTCTTTTAAACATACAAGTAAGCGTGCACATGGCAACTTTATATGTTGATAATGATATTAATAATATATCCAAAATTTTTGATAAATATGTATTATTTTTGTTTTATTGTTAATCAAATGCTTATTGCAAAATCTAAATCTGATCACATAAACGATTCATCCAAATATGTGATAATTGGATCGAGTTGTGAAGTTTCAAGTATAATCCATAGGCCTACATACTTGGGTAGATTCTTATTTCTGTAATCTTTTATCATTTTTTGTGTATCTTTTTGTTTTTTGGTTCATTTATCAAAGAAATATAAGATTTAAATAGAATGTGGTGAAAAGTAGTAGTTTAAATAGGGACTAAATTCACCATAGAATTATAGATGTGTTCATTTTTTTCTTTAAGTTTTTTTTTGTATTTTTGTGTAAAAATAATTATGATGTCACTATGTCACACTTATTTTTTTGTTTAATATGATAATTATATAATATGATACATGTGTTTGGATTTTGTTTTGCAAAATTGATGTATTTTTTCATTTTATATTTTTACACTTTATTAATTTTTATTATTTATTTATGACATTAAATGCAAACATTTTTACCTGAAAGTTGAATTATTGATCTTTGCCAAACAATAAAATAATTTCATTTTTGGTCATTTCTAAATTATGTATTTCATTTTCATTACCAATAAAAATAATTCTTGTTTATTACACTTATTTTTTTAATTTGATTAACAAAAATATCATAAATGTGTCTAATTTTGTCTACATTTTTGTAATTTTCTATATTTATTACTATTTTAAAAATTTTATTACCTAACTATAACTTCATAGGTTGATCAATTTGATTAAGATGGTTTAATTTCTTAACCACCACTTGGATATAGAATGATTTTATTTTTGAGTTAGGTTTAAAATATATGGATTTATATTGTTAAAATATTGATATAAATCTAATTAGTAGCATTCATTAGTGAAAATAACTTAAATATAGGATTTAATAAGAGAATATGGGAGTTAATACTTTTTAATATAAGACAGAATGAGAATGGATTAAACGAGGTGGAAAGTAATAACTGAACTTACATTTTCAACCCTTACAATTAAAGATGGACTAAATACAAAAATATGAGCATTTTAATAGTCATAAAAGCTATAATAAAATGACTTTTATACCCTTTTTTAAACAAAGAAATAAAGGGTCTTTTTTTTTATTTCCTTTGGATGGCTACACAATGGAGGTAGCCCATCCCCCAACCAGGTGCATGCGGAATTCAATCCTAAGTCTCTGCTACAACTGGCTAGCACCTTACAAATAGAGGATAATTTTAATCCAAAAAACTTGCACTTTGCATTCACACTTTTATATATCATATAGATATTTATTTCCCATCATAGATTAATACAAAATATCTGAATAATTACATATGATCTTAATGGGCAGGCTCCCAATCCCAGGTTCATCTCTCTCTCTCTCTCAATAACCATGCCAGCAGTGGACTTCAATTTAATCTTTCAAGACTATTCTAAATAGGCCATAAAATAAAGAAAGACCTATAAAAATTGGGTCTCGCACAGCTTAGAACACAATGATAAGTTGGCATTAATACAGATCACCGTACCATGAACCCAGTTGGGGTTGGATCCTTCTAACTAGTTCAAATCAGCCCCCCACAACGTCCCACAGCACATTCCCGCCGTGTATTAAAAACATAGCCCGATGATAACATCATTATTTTTAATATTATCATTGGAAGATGTTCTAATACACGGCAGGGATGTGCTGTGGAGGGCAATCTTGTAGGGGATTGATTTGATGTCCCTTCTAGCTGCTCAAATTTAAATCGCATCATCCCCTTGTTAAAAATAATTAAGCTGAGTTGATAGTAATAATTGGTGGGAAAGGAAGGGATCAAGCCAAACAAAGCGTTACATTTGGGCCTGCCAACTCCTCTTCTGGGCTGTTTGATTTTTTCCCTAAAGTCAGATGGCATCCAATAATGGGGGGTTCAGATATTTTGGATCGTTATTATATTTTGGTCTCTCACTTAAAGCCCATCCCAAATTGTGTCCCCTTGACGACGCAGTTAAGAATATCGGGGTCCCTAACCGAATTCCTGATTAGCTGGGCGAAATGGTTGTTGGGCTTGGGTAAGCCGTGGAACCAATGATAATGGCCTATTAAGCAGCCATCGTGTTCAGTTAATCCCAGTTGACTCCTTTTATCCACCACTATTATTCATTAACATTCAAGCTGTAAAATGAATGGGAAATTATGTTGAAATTAATTAGCCATAGCCAATCTAAAAGCCTCGCAATACAGTTGATTGATAAAAGTCAACAAAGCTGATCAAGAATCAAAAGTATTGTGCGGGCCCAAGCGCAACCAGTCTCACTATCCCCAAAATCGGCTCCAACATATGTAATGGGTACCCAAAATCAACCCAGGATCTTCTGCCTGGTGACAGACACCATGCCATTGTGCTCTTAAGTAGCAACATCTCCACGTGTTGAATAGCAGATGGTTTTCAAAGAACAAACACTAAATAGCATGTAAGGGCAATTTTTGGGATTTAATATCAATAAAAGTAATATATTAAAAAAATAGGTTAATTTTTTAAAAATAATATCAATAAAGGGCAAAAAAAAATACTATTCATCTTCTTCTTCTTGCCAATTGTTCATCAGAGTCGCCGCCTGCCACCACCTGCTACCGCCGTCCTCTGCCACCCGCCGCTGCCTCCACCCACCTCTGCATCCGCCTCAGCCTCCAGCAACGTTGCCGGAGGTAGAGGTGGCGGTGGCAGCAGCGTTGGTGGTTTCTTTGTCCAACGCTACCACCTCTACCTCTGGCAACATTGCTGGAGAAAGCGACGGACAGCAGCATACGACAATGGCAGGTGATGGTGGACGGTGGCGAACGATGACTCTAGTGAACAAATGGCAAGAAGAATAAGATAAATAGTGTTTTTACCCTTTATTGATATTATTTTTAAGAAGTTAACCTATTTTTGAAAGTTTTTTAAATATATTATTTTTATTGATATTATAACCCAAAAGTTGCCATTCTATGCTAAAAACCCTTATATCATCCTCTAAGTCTAAATAGGGATGCAAATACATTGAATGGGATTCAAATCGAAGTATTGGAATCTGATCATATAATATAAATCCTATTATCTGCTCTGATCCGATGATCTGATTGGTTTTCAGAGGTTAATTTAAATTCGAACCCATTAAGATGTCACATATCCAAATCTGATTTGATCTCATTTAACTATCAATCGTTCTATAACATTTAATAAATTATTAAGGCCAAATTTCTTAAACTATTTTTACTATTTAGTTAATTGACAAATTGTACTTTTAATGTTTAATTATTGTCTTAAAATATCTCCAATTTTCATGATAATTGTCATCATCATTAAATATTGATAGAAAAAGCAAAATTATAAATTTACCCTCCATTGTTTTTCAAATTTTCAAAATAAAACACTGAGGAGACAGAAATTTTTAGCGGAATTAGGGATTTTCCTCTGGTTCATTCTCGGGGTTTTATAGGACAATTCTCCACGGGTAAAGCCGATAATTCTCCAGTTGAAACTGAAAGGTTTCTCGTTAGAGATCTTCCACATACAGAGAGGGAGAGAGAGAAAGAGAGAAACAGAGCAGCCGCTGAAGAGGATAAAATCATGCCTGGCAGAAACTTCACACAATCACAAATCCCAGAAAGAAAATCATAAAAGGAAATAAAAAATCCAGGACAAATATTTTGTGCTAGGACAATTTTCTGTTGGAGATAGTGGAAAGAGCTGATGGTACAAACGGCAAGGGATTTCTCGAATTATTTAATGGGGATATCGGTGAAGTTGGTGGGGTGCCATGAATCTGGCTGGAATGCGTTGTAAACCAGAACTTCAACATCGACAAAACCAACAGATAGAACCCCCCTCAAATGCCTCCCGAATGCTTCGAGAGTCGGAGCATTAAGTTGCAGCAAGAACCCCCTCAAATGCCTCTCGAATGCTTCGAGCATCGGAGCAGTAAGAAGCCCCTCAAATGCCTCCCGAATGCTACGAGCATCGGAGTAGTAAGTTGCAGTAAGAACCCTGTCTGTCGTGCGTTGAAGCAGATAGAACCCCCCACCGATTCAAACTCCATCTCTCTCGATCGTGCGCCGGAGCAAATAGAA